AGGTTGGATCAACGGAATGGAGAACAGCACGCAAGCCAGCACTTCTGTCGAGAAAAGAAATCACCATTGGAGAAGTTACAAGTTGATAATTGACCCGGCTCTGAAAAAAGGACAGCACAAACTCTACCGTTACGATGGGCAACATTTCAGCATGCCTGTGAGTGAGGGGGGGTCGTGGGTTTCCCCCATTGTGTTGTGCCCCCCCCCCATTTCCTCCCCAACCCCAAAACCCCTGCCTCTGTCTTACCGGCGTTTTGGGGGCTGAGGGTCCCTCCGGGTCGTGGTAATCCCTGCCCCGTAGCACATGTGTGTGGGAGGGGGGTCTGGGGGACACACACAAACTTACTGCCACCTGACACTGTGTATTCAACTGTCAGGAGCCCGAGAAGGAGCCCAAACCTGCGGCTTTCTTTCTGTGTTTCCAATCTGTGTGCATTTCCCAGCAGTATTGCAATTTGACACGTGTGTGTATGTGTGTGTGTGTGCGCTTTCCCCTTCCCTTGAGACAGCCCCTGCTTCCTTGGGGTTTATTTTTTCTTTTATTTGTGTCTTAAATTTCAAGCCCTGTTACTGCTGTTTTTCTCCTTTTTCTCCTCCTCTTCCCAGAACTCGGGAATCGCTCCTGTGGATTGTGTCAGGGATCCCAGAATAGGGCGAATATGGACCAAAACTAAGGAGTTGGAGCTGTCTGTCCCCAAATTCAAGGTACTGCCCCTGACTTTTGGGTTTAGCTCTGTATTCTTGTTTATCCGGGAGTGAAGCTTCTCTTCCAAATAGTTTAATGGACCATTTAAATGACAGTCATATTCCTATTAACATTATTATTTGGCAAACTGTTTAACAATAATCCTGTCCTATAAAGATAATGAGAAATCAGTGCATCTGTCTAAGGAGATCACTTGGTTTTGGAGCTGTGTCTTGGGGGCTCCTCGGGTGGGAGACAGCAGAGGGGGGCTCTCTGCTGACAGCACTGCTCAAAATATGTATTTCTAGCCCAGAAAGGAGCCGGTTTCAATGAATGGCTGCAGCGCCAGAGGCTCTGCTCAGCTCCGGGGTTCATCCCAGAGCCTTGGAGGCAGTTTTCTTTCCCCAAAGTTTGCAGGATACTTTAACCCTCTCCTTCCCGTGCTATCTTTATGCCCTTCCCCATGCTCATTAACAAGGACAGTTATTTTATTGCCCCCCACCTTGTGCCCGTTTCCAGATTGATGAATTTTACGTGGGGCCAGTGCCTCCCAAGCAGGTCACCTTTGCCAAGCTGAACGACAACATCCGCGAAAACTTTTTGACCGACATGTGCAAGAAATACGGCGAAGTGGAAGAGGTGGAGATTCTCTACAACCCCAAGAACAAGAAGCACCTGGGCATCGCCAAAGTGATCTTTGCCACTGTCAAGGGTGCCCGGGAAGCTGTCCAGCACCTTCACAACACCTCTGTCATGGGCAACATCATCCACGTGGAGCTGGATACGAAAGGTGAGGGGGCACATTTTGGCCTCAGACGTTGGTGGTTTGCAGTGCTCCTGCCCGTTGCTGTCCTAAAATGAGAGGCTGTTGCAGACAGTGGGGGCCTGGCAATTAAAAATATGAAGGGAGTGCTCCTGTCCCCCTGCGAGCGGCTCTGGTTTCTGGGGCCTTGGTAAGTCACGTGGAGCCAAATGTGTTGTCTGTTGCTAGGAGACAGCCCTGTAATTTGCAAAATGCTGCCATCCTGCCCATCCCCTGCCTGTCCCCTGCCCTGTCCCCTGCTCCCTGTCCTCTGAGCCCTTCCCGTGCCCCCATCTCCACATCCTAAGCTGGCCTCACTCAGCCACCCCCGCGGGCTGCTGGACCCCATGGCACCTGCCTTCTGCAAACTTGGGATTTTGGGGCAAACCTTGGGGGTTCCTGTGACCCAAACCTCTGGGTTCTGGTGGCAGCAGCGGGGCTGGGTGCTGTCCTCTGCGTGCCTGGCATTTCATTGATACTTAACAGCAAACTGGAGGCTGGCAGCAAAAGAGTGCACAGGCAGCACTTGTCAGTGTGTGCGAGTGTGTAAGTGTGAGACTGTCTCTTAAAGCGACAGGAGCTCCGAGTCCTGGAGGTAACCGGCTCTCAGCCCCAGAGCCTAGCCCTGGGCAGCCCAATAAAGTTTCTGGAAGTATGAAAGCATTGCATTTCACTGCTTTGTCTTTTCTCTTTCCTCTAAGCGTGTTAGTGAAGGGCTTTTCTAAAATATACCCAAATTTTAGCAAATATCTGAAGCTGAGGAGGTTGTCTAAAACTAGATCACTTGCTGTTTGTACTTCTTCATTGCAAACACAGCCTTTCTAGTTAAAAACTGACTTACTGCACTCTTTCTTGGGAAGAGGACATTGTTAACACCATTTTCTGAAAAATGCTGGTATTTGGGTCCTATATTAAAAGGTTTGAACAATGTTAGTGCACAACCTGTACAGCAGTTGGTGTGCCACACGTGGGAAGAGGGTGTAGTAGGGTGTTTGTTGACGTTACTGATCACCGTTAGAAGAAAAACTACAGTAGTATGTATAATAATTTCTGTTGTGAGCTAAGCCTGACCTTAACGTATGTATACTTTGAAAATCTTGTATCATTCATTTTTACAGACAGCCTCCTTCCCCTGCTCACTTTCAAATCTGAAGTTAAAAATGACATTTAAGATTTAAATTAACCATTTGTAGATTTAATAATGTGAGCTAAAGCAGGCTCGTAAGTCGTGGACATATTAATAAGAGGTATTTTAACCAAGCTGATGGTACTACATTCCTCCTTGTTCTCCTCCTTTTATAAACTTCTCTGCAAGCCTTGCATCAGGGAAATGAGGGGGTTTTATGTGTCTGTTTCTTGGGAGAAAACATTGAAGTCTTAGTTTCAATTTGCATTTTTGTTTTGTTTGCCACTCTATGCTTCTAATGTATTTTTTTTCCATGGCTGCATCTCTTTCATTCTAAAAGAGTAAGACTGTCAATGTGCTATAATCTGTCAGAATCAACTCAAAACGTTATTCCTAAAATGGTATTAGCAGGTTAGGATGTTCCTAAAATATATATGTATAGTTTTCAACATTTCTTTCTAGTATTCAGCTTGTCAAGGGAATTAAAAGTTGGTTAACTTAATTTTCATAGTCTAGCAAAATAGATACCAGGAGCAAAAGTGTCATTTTATCTGTCTGGCCAGAGCACAGGCCTGGGAATGTGGAACTAAAAAAAATCTAAGACAGGCAAGTTTAAAGCAGCTTCTCTGCCTCAGTTTATCTGTCTACAGAATGGACACACTTAATAATTAGCTGTCCTTTGAGAAATAAATAGGAATCATTTCACTTTCATAAACCTCTTTGAAAATGAAATTGTAACTTTTACTGCATTATACTGGGGATCTAGGAAGAATAATGAAACTTTCTAACAATTACTTTGTATTTATTTAAAAACAAGTTACAAAGTAAGCCAAACACTTCCATATCCATGGCTGTAGTCTTATGGAGGGGCGTGTGTGTTAAGATTTCAAGCATAATATTTCAAGCATCTCTTCAAGCTCTTGTCTTGAATAGATCTATTTTGTCATGGTTTTAGTTGAGCTAGAACAGTTTACATAGTTGAGGATGTGGCTCAAGACTTTGTGAAATGAGGTTTGATAACCAGGTAGCCTCATCTGCAGCATTTGTTCAAGGTAAATGAGTCTTTTCCAGTATGCAGAATGGTGCTAAGGGGGATACTTTGCTTTTAAATTGCACGGAATGATTCAAAGGGCGTTTGGAGTTTGATCCTGCAGGACGTTTCAGGAGAGATCTTGCCTGAATTTATTTTCTGGGCTCAGGTGCTTTTAAATTGCACGGAATGATTCAAAGGGCATTTGGAGTTTGTTCCTGCAGGATGTTTCAGGAGAATTGCCTGAATTTATTTTCTGGGCTCAGGAGCTGGGTCTGTCCATTTTTCTGTGTATTCTTTATCTTTCAGAGCAAGATTCAGACAATTTTGGGGTCTGATTCTGTTGCTTTTGAAGCTGATGATAGGATTTCTTACAGGCTGCAACATAAGTAGGGTTGGGTTTTTGTAGTGATGAAAAATCCAATATTAAGAAACTGGGTCTTTGTAGAATTTAGGAATGAAAAGGCTGAGGCAACAATATATGGGACAGCTTGCTTCTCTGGCTTTTATTCTTTGAAGGACACCACTGAGCACACCTTAAACTAAGGGGGAAATAAAAGGACTAGTCGTTGTCTTTTTGGAAAAGCAGCATTAATGGTTTTGTCCTCAGTGTTCCCGTGCATCGTACCTGCGTTAATAACATCCAGTTTCTACTGGCAAGGTGTGCTGGGAGAGCTTTCTGAAGTGGCTCTGGGTGTTGGCAGAAGCTTGTCCCTTGGGTCAGAGTTTCACTTCTCAAATCTGCAAGCTATTTGCTTGGCACTTTGGAGAAGAGGGAAACTGCTGCTCTCCAGAAAGCATGGTAAAGAGCAGAGCTGTCGAGCAGGCTGAGAAGAGGAAAAAAGGATTTAGAAACCTCCTTGTCTTGGCTGGAGAAGGGAGTCTCTGACTTCACTTGCCCAGCAGATTATTTAAAAATGATCCCTGCAAGCCTTGGAGGCGATACCTGCTGCTCCATTGCACGGATGCAGCAGGCTGGGAGCGGTAGCAGGGTCACGTAGGTGTCAGGAATGTGTATTTTTACATAGGCTGTGTGATTGATGTTTAATCAACTCTTCTGTTGTGATTTCTGCAGGTGAAACCCGCATGCGATTCTATGAACTGCTTGTAAATGGTCTTTACACTCCTCAGACCCTTCCTGTAGGCACCGAACAGGATGTATCACCCACTGTCAATGAAACTCTCCAGGTATGTTTACTTGGCTTTTTTTTAAGAATAACTTTCTAGAAAATTCCAAAGAAATGCATCATTACCATTTAACATTTTAATGCTTTTAATTTAGCTTATTTTTTTTTGGTCTTGCCATAGTTTCAGTGGATGTTATTAATTCACATTTAAATATAATTTGCTCATAATTACCATAGCAAATGTAAATCTGCGAATGCAGCACGTGTGGCTAATCTGTATGCCAGTGTCTGCCTAGCGCGGTAAGTGCTTTTTGTCTTTCTGAATGAAAAATACCTACAGAACTGACAGTATGTGCCCTATTAACATTAGAAATTCCTGCAGTTAAGACTGGATCAGATCTGTCCCTGAGATGAGATTATTCCCTTGAAGTCAGGGGGAATGATTTACAGTGGTACATTTGGCCTAGCATCTGCAGTGTGTAATCCTTCGCACATACATTCTTCAGCTTTGCTTAAAGGCTGAAAGATGGAAGATGTCTGATCTCGAATAGTGGAATCAATTTTTCAGAATCTTAATTAGTCACTGGAATCAGTCGTTAATAAAAGCAGTGGACAGAATTCCTGAGGGCTTTCCCTTGATATTTAGAGTATGATTCTCTAATTGTCTGCTCCCCTGCAAGGGGCAAGTGAAGCCTGTTTTTGTGAAGTCGTCAGCTCCCTTGGCTTGTCTAAATGTACTTTGGCTTCTGATTGTGGCTTAGGAACCCCTCTAAGGCATCAAATTTGAAAGAGATTTGGCAGAGATTTTTCTTTTCTTCTCTCTAATTTTCTGCATTCTTATGACTTCTTATAAAGGCCGTAATTTCATTAATTCTGTGATCAGATGTTTTCAAGACAGGTACGAACTGTACAAAGAACGTGAAAATCCCATTGATCTGAAAAAAAAAAATTCTCCTCTTCTCCCACCAACCACCCCAACAGCAGCAAGGCAAAACCCCAGTATCCTCTTAACAGAATCTTGAAGAAGCTGATTCTTCCTTACCTCCCAGCAAGCTGGTTTTAAAGGCAGGAGGGAGGCAAGTAGTGATTTTGCTGAGAATCCACTATGAGCAGGGCCTGACTTTTCATTTCTGCTGTTTGCAGCACATCTCAAGTAAAAATGGACAGATTTGTTCTTACTCCCTTTTCAGGGTTAACAGCAAAGCAATTAATTGATAGTATCCCCCAAAATATTCCTTGCTATAATTATCTTTTAGATTGTTTCTCTAGATATTGTGTTCATGTATTATATTATTATCTGAATTGATTTTTTTTGCAGTTACCTCCAAAGTTGTTGCTTTATGGGTAACTTTAACTATTTGCATCATGTTCTTGTCACTGGAATCTGCCAACAAGCTCATTTGCTGTTGTAGTTCAGTAAAATACTGACATTTGCTTTCCCCCTCATGCAGAACAGCAAAGAGCGAACGGTTCTGCGGGCCACAGTCCGTGCCTCCAGGCCATATCCAAACCCCACTGAAAAACAACCCACATCACATCGACACCAGAGGTGCAGAGATGTGGATTTTAGCAGGAAGCATATGGCTGGTTTAGAAACCTCCTTTCTGTAGGTTTAGAACAGTTGAGGAAGAAATTCTCCTGATGTCCATGTGGTCACGGTCTCAAGGGGTCACACCGAGAGCAAGTCCACGCTGTTCAGTGGGTGAGATGTGTGTGAGCGTAGCAGGCAGGTGGGAGCTCAGCTTGAGTTTGATGGTGTTGGCGTGTTACAAGCAGATTGTTTTAAGGGTCTCTGTACCCACCTGTGCTTGGGAGATGAGCAGCCAGTCTATAACCTCACCAGTTTGCTATCCTGGTGTGCTTTTGGAGGAGCTGGAGCTCAGTCCTGCCTCTTTGACTCTAAGGAGGATTCTCACTGAGCTCTTGCTTTGCATTATGGAAAATTGATTCTGGCACTGATAATTAGTGTGGCACTGTTATGACTCAGCAGTCTGAGTTGGAGCAGGGCTGCTCCTAGAAACCCCCTGAATGTGCCTGTGAAGTGAGTTGCAGAGCAGTTACTTGGCTGCTCTGTAGGCTTGTAGGGTTTCAGTTTCAAATGCCATAATCAGTTGTGCTCTACCTGAGCATTTGTCTTTGGGAAGGAATTTAAAATGTGTTTTTAGCAGTTGAGAACTTTTTGTGCCTTTTTTATATGTAGCCTTCTCCTTGTTGTTACAGGTGAATGTTTGTTTGGTAGAGTGTGGTGGGTGAGGTCCCTCAGTTGGACCAACACAAAGCCCTGCTGCATAGGTTTGGTTGCAGGCTGACAGTTTGCTGATTTGTGTGTTCTGGTTTGTTTGCAAAAAGAGTTTGTTAAATTGATAATTTAATATCTCAGAATTTTCTTAATTATCTTTCCTATGTGCAATTTAGGCAAGCCTTACCTGATAAAAGTTGAAACTTTTAGCTAAAAGTATTGTGGAAGTCTCCTGTTCACCTGATGCTCTTGGGTGTAGCTTGTAAGGAATACTGTTGTATCTGCTTTCTTCTTCCTCCTCTTATAGACAAGTTCCTCCTTGCTTGCCTTTTACTTTTAAATCAAAGGGGACTGTTAATAATGGATAATGGTTTGTGTTTTCAGGGATGCTGCAACCTGGTTTTTGGGGTTTTTTTTTGTGGAAATCAGTGCAAACTCTTGGGTACTCCTCTGAAAACCAAATGGATTAGACAAATATCTTTTTCAAAGTGTTTGTTTAGGTGCTTTTCTCTCTTCTGTTTTTATAGTTGACAGATTCCCTGAAGCGCCTGAAGGACAGTAACCTTTCTTCTGCGGGATCATCCGTTACCCCAAACAGCAGCACGCCGTTTTCCCATGACACAGCCTATTCCAGCTGTCGGCAAGACACCCCAAACTCATACAGCCAATTTACCCCCCAGTCCCAGGGAACACCTCACACCCCACGGTTAGGGACGCCGTTTTCCCAGGATTCCACCTATTCTAGTCGTCAGACAACGCCCGTGTACCATTTTGGACAGGACAGTGGGTACAAACCCAGGAGACATGAAACAAAATTTACAGATGCCTACAACCGTCGGCCGGGACATCACTATGTTCATAACTCGGCAGGTGTTTACCGAGGGACAGAGCATCAGTTTAGTACCTACAAATCCCATCAGCAGGAGCCAGTTCAGTTCTCTCACACTCCTCCCTTGAGCCACTCTAGTTCTTCGAGCTACAAATCTGCCTTCTCTCCCTACCAAGCACCAGCTGTATTTCCCCAGTCCGATGAGCCGCAGTTTCCCCAGGCTTCCAGGGAATCAGAGTACCGCAGACCTGCACCACCTCCCGCCGAGATGGTTGTGGAAAGCAGCGCTGCCACTAACATCGATTTTGTCCCGGTGAAGGAGAAACAGGAGGAGCCTCCTCCACCCTTGCCCGATTCGAACTCTGTTCCTGAACCGAGCACAGCATCCTTCTCTCAGACTCCAGAGAGAAGCGAGACCCCCGGCACCCCGACCATGGAGTCCGAAATGCAGCATAACAGTTTAGACTCAAGGATTGAGATGCTCTTAAAAGAGCAGAGAACAAAATTACCCTTTCTGAACGAGCATGACTCGGATAATGAGATCCGAATGGAAGGTAGCCCCATCTCCTCCTCTTCTTCCCAGCTCTCTCCCATCCCGATGTACGGTTCGAACTCTCAGCCCGGTTACAGAGGTCAGACGCCTTCCTCGCGCCCTTCCAGCACAGGCCTGGAGGACATTAGCCCCACGCCATTACCTGACTCTGACGACGATGAGCCCATACCTGGGACGGCTTCTCTGAGTCAGAATTCCCGGGGGACATCGGAGGCCAGCATGACTCCCATTGATCAGCTGAGCAGGACCTCCAAAATCGAGACCTCGGAGGCTAAAGAAATGGTACCTGGTGACCAGACTCCAACATCAGAAAAAATGGACGAGGTAAGTGAGCTGGAACCGAGTTGTGAAGCTCCGTGCGTATCCCCAGAGCTGGGCAGGACAGGGAGTCACTCTTTTGTTTTAGTGTCATTAGGCCATAGGGTTTCTGGTGGCTTTTTCTTTTACTCAGGGCAGCTGGAAAGAAGTTAGACGTGATGCAAAGTGATGGTCTTAATCAACTTGCCAGTCTCCAGCTTTCCTTGTTTATAATAGCAGCCTGCTGCAATTTATAGCTTCAGGACAGCTCAAGGACTGCACAAGCCACGGAAGTTTGGCCAGTGCTCGTGCTGTGTGTGAATGTCCTGAGTGTCGACAGACACTTAAGCCACTAGAAGAGTTAATGGAGCACTTTCTGCCATTGCTTTGGTCCCTGAGTGTGGGTGTGGATGTATGCACACACTTGCTTAACGGGGCTTTCATGTTACGCCGAAGGATTGAATGTATACTTTGTTTGATAGCTCTCCAGCTATTTTTGCCATCTGGTTTGAACGGGAGACAGTTGCTGGGTTTTAATACTCCCTTTGCTCAGTTGAAAGGGGGAGGTAGTTGGCTTGTGGGGGATGTGCTCCACTGAGTCTTCCAATAATAGAGCAGAGCTTGCTGCCTCTGCTGGGGCATTTGTGGCTGAAAGGACAGCGAGAACTTAACGGTGTGGAATGGTGGCAGCAGACAGAGAAATTGCGTTGCGTGGCGTGTCTCTTTGGGAGATCTGTTGCAACAAACGTGAGTATCGCTGCAGTGGACCTGTCAGTCCTATTGTATTCTGCTGCAACAAGGAACGGTCAAAATACAGATCTTTGCAAATGCCAGACCCTTTCTCCTCAGTGCTTATAGCAGTCATGCAAGCAAATGAAACTGCTGTCCCTGGTGTGCAAGAACTCTGCAGTAAGGAGACCTCAAGCATCCAAGAAGGCTGGTCTTGTGTAAATATCCCGAGCGTGGCAGATCAATTTAATTTACTCACAAAAGTTTGCTGGGGTTAGGCTGGCAGAAGAGATTTTCCTCCAGTGATCTACAGTTGTGTGGTTTTCACCCACGAAGTAGCTGTGTTTCAGGAGAGGGGGAACTGCTCCTGTAGATAGAGGCTTTGTGGTGTGCTTCACTGGAGGAAAAGCGCTGCAGCATTAACATAGTGCAGGTCTCGGTGCTAAACTGAAAAAAACCAACTGTAACTGTACTGGATATTTTGTTTTTGCTACATGCCTTTCCAAACCTGCTTGTCCTTGCAGTTGCCAGTTCAGCCTTTGAAACAGTTCAGCTGCTTGAGGTCTCATTCATCATCTAGGCTGGCCCACGCTCTCCTCTTGGGAGGCAAGTCCCTGGCCAGTGGGACCTGATGATGTGTTAATTAGGAATGGAGTTTTGATTCCTTGAGCTCGGTCTGGCAGGCTGAAGAGGGGATACTCTTAGTTTGTCAAAAAAAAAAATGAGGAAAACATCCTTCATCTCCTTGCCATTCTGGGCTCATATCTGCTGTCCTTGCTCTCGTGCACGTGGGTTGCAGCCAGTCCTGAGGATGTTGAGGAAGATGGATGAATGCCAGCGTGGTATGTGGGGTCAGGCACTTTCTGTAGCTGGGATCAGCGTTGGAGGACTGGCCAGGATGTTATATTTGTAGGTTGTGATATGGGGCAGCAGCGTGCTGACGTTGAAGACCACGTTAAGTCTTTGTCTCCCCTTAATGAGATGCTGGTGTCAGGAGTTCACGTCGATGGTTCTCTGATGCAAAATGATATAAATACTTTGATCCTCTGCTGAAGTCAGAAAGGTGGTAGCAGGGTCTCCATGCAGGTCACTGCTGCCTTAGTTGTCTCCTCCTCCAAAAAAGTTTGGTGTTTGTTGTTGAAGCTGTTTATTCAACCCTTGTCTTGGTTACAAATCACACTAAGCTATTCTGGCATGTTTGAAAAGTTGCCTGTGCCTTTCATTGCTCATTCTGATGCACAAAAAACGATCTCCATGTGTTTTTGCTTCCTTCCCCCGCCCTTCTCCCCCCCATTTTTTTACTTTAGAAGAAGTCTCTCCTGGCTTCCCTCTTTTGCTGAAGGAGCAGAGCTGAACAGTGACTTAACATAGGCTGAAATTTGAGCTGCAGCTTTCCAGCTGAGTTAGAGAGGGGCATTGAGTCTGTCTAAGGGCTGGAAAACTGAACCTCCTACTTCAGCCTATTGTGATACCACTATTCAACTTTCAGTCCTTCAGAAAGTCCTCCAGCAAAACAGAGGGAAGGCAGACCCGAATATTTCTAGTGACTGTGTGGCAAGGGGAGCAGAGCAGAAATGAGATATTAGCATAGGGAGGGCTCATTAAGTATCATAAGGAAGCAATAAAGGGCAGAGAGTTTGAACTTCTTATTTACTTCATATTTGGCTCTTCAAGGGTCGGAGCAGCCCCAGGCCAAACTCTCTTTGGGTGGGTGCTGTAGCTGAGAAAATCTTGAGATTCATAAGGATGCCAGCAAAGTTGCAGGGAAGCTTTTCCTGAGACAATAGGTGCTTTGCAATGACCTACTCCTGTTTCCCATCAAAACAAACATGATTTTTGTCAGTGGTTGCTAATATGGAAACATTTGTTCTATAGGTGAAGCGCTGTCAAATCGTCAGGCAAGTAACCACCCCAGACTTGCCATAAGTAAAGGAGGTTCAGCCAAGCCCCAGCAATTGCTCTGATTTATCATGCAAGACCCCGGAGTTTGATTTCAAGATCCGGTATGATACTCCTAAACCAGAGCTTGGCAGGGAGTTTGGGTGTGGGAGAGGAAGGGCTGTACATCAGTCTGCAACACCTAACTCCGACTAATCTCAGAGCAGTGACTGTGGTCTGCAGAGAAAGTCCTGCTAAGCTTAGCCGAGGGACGAGCGCTGAGAGGTGGAACAGAGCGGGATGTGGGCAGTACGAGGTAAGAGGAGAAAAGGGATCCTTTACAAACAGCACAACCTGCCAGCCAGGAAGGGGAGCAGAGAGGGCTTTGTCAAGGAACTAGAAGATGGTAAGGGAAGAAACCAGCCGGGCTGCATTGTTACTTTAGGAAAAGTTTTGAGGGTAGCAATGTACAAACTTTCCTTCCTATGTTCCTGAGCGATTCCTGAGGAAAGAATCGCAATCATTTCTTTTTCACAGGATCTTTGCTGTTTCAGGAGTGCAAAGGTTAAGTAAGTACAGCTTGACGTTCTGACATCCCATTTGAGCCAGGTCTTGTTTTTGCTTGGCTTGTTACAGGAAGAGGCCCTGCCTGCGTGTGCTGGGGAGGGTGACAGGATTATCACAAGTCACTTTGTTGTGTGTTGATGATGCCTTTCATGTTTCAGCTTATGAACGTATTAGTTTGTGTGCATAGCTAGTGTGTAATAAGAAGACCATATGGTCGACAATGGTATTTTTCCAGATTTACAAGTACCAAAGTATGTTTTAATTGAGGGCTCAACAGACTCCTGTCTTCCTGGTAGTTTGGCTAAGCACCTAGTTTCTGTGGTGTGAGAGGTGCCTTAAAAATGCCTTAAAAAAAGATAATCATAAAACTAAAGATCCTGAAACATGAATGAGGTCAGAGCAGTTTTCCTGTTGCTTGCTGTGAATTTTAGCAAATGGTTTGGGGAGCAAACTGGAAGTGGCCCAGTGCACAGCAGCCCTAGAGGCTCTGAAAGCCACTGCTGTCACCAGCACCCCTCAGTGTCTTACTGGGTTGTTGTGAATGTTTTCAGTGCCATGCTGGATGCTCAGGTGCCTCTTGCAGGACAGACATCCCTGTGACAAGCTGTGTGTATGCAGCAGATCCTCCTGCAGTTACCCGGGGAGAATTTTTGAGCTGCACTTACACATAGATGAGGTGGGTCAGGCTCAGCCCTACAGTGAGCTCTGCTAAAGTCCCTGAGGTTACGTCTGGGCTCAATTTGCACTTCACATTGAAGTGTCTTTGGATTCTTGTGTGGTCGTATCCAGAACTGGAAGAAATTTATGTTGAAGTGTCACATTTTCCCTCCGGAGCCTTAGCAGGATGTGATGACATTCTCCTCAAGACACTGCACCGTGTCTTGTGTCGCTCCATGCCGCTGCCTCCCCATCCAGACCGGGCTGTGTTTCAGGAGCTGGTAAATGATTCCTCTTTCCTCCAGAGCCAAGTTCAACCTTTAGTTGTCACGAGAGCCTGTGAGAAAAAGCAGTGCCCTGGTGCTGTCCAGGCAGTGAGAAGAGCTGCAGGGGTTTTCTCTGCCAGCAGAACCTGCAGTGGTTGCCCCAGGAGCAGTCAGTACCCCTTGGAGCTGTGCTGTGTGGGTGCCTGTCAGTCTCTGCCTGCAGAAGGACACTCTCCTCCTGTGCCCTGCTCCCACCCATGGGTTGTGTGAGGTTGGAGGCAGCCCCGTGTTCCTGGGACATTGAGAGTGGGTTAGATGGAGCCTCCTAAAGATGGATCCAAACGTGCCCTACTAAGGGCTGTTTCTGGGCTGGAGAGTGAGGAAGTGATTTATTCAAGGTAAATGCACATTAAGGTTGGGAAGGTAGAGACTTAAGAGCCAGGAAATGTGATACCTTGGTTTCCACAGTAACTGTGCAAGAGCCCTTATGCCCATAAGTAGCTGTTATGTATGTATAATATATATGGGTACACCTGGGATCCAATTTACAGCTAGAGTGGGATTCATCATTTCTGGAGGGAGGTGGGGGGAGTAGATGTGGGGAATGGTTACTCTGAATGCATTTTTTTAATTGAAGAAGGGAGAAAAACCTGAGAGCTGTGATTTATGCCCAGTCTCATAAACGCTTTTTCAAATTTTCCTGCCTCCTGAGCTCTTGCGAATGCGATCACGCCTAACTGAACCTGTTCCTAATGGAAACTCCAAAACTAGGTATATGTTATGAGCATGAATTTCCAGAAATGCAGCCAGCCAATACCCAGGCAGCAAAGATTTGGATGACTGCTGTGGTTTGACATGTGAATTACACCAGCCGGGCTAAACCTGTGAAATGAAAATGAGAGCGAGCTGCTCAAACTGTGGGTTCAGTCC